TGGGAGTCACCAAATCAAATCAACAATTTTCTCTTTCAGATGATCTTTAGGATTGATTTTCCATTTCCACCAGAGAGGAAGCCTTTGATTTGAGCCTTTGAAGCTTCTCGCGCTCTCAGCTGATTGTGTTTTTTTGTGTGTCTCTTTTTATTGCAGATTTTATTCATGAACAAGATAGACCTTTTTCAAGACAAGATTTTACACTCTGGCCGACATCTGCGGTTATACCTGCCACAGTTTAAAGGTAGGACTCATGTTAGTTAAATGTTCTTTTTTGTGTTATGCACATAACTTGCTCACATGGACTGTTGTAGTGGTCAAACAAATTACATTAACATAACTTAACATATTCATAACATATACATATTAGTGGCCAGTTTACACCTGTAAAATCTAATGCAATCTCTGGCACACTGTCAGAGAGGTATTACATTAACTACATGTTTGTTATTGAGGGTATTAAACTGGACTGCGTTATATTGAGAGGTGTTTCTAATGTTTTCTCATATTAGTGATGTAGTTCAGTTCAGTTGATTTAAAGTTTTTCACCAAAACTACAAATTATAAATGTAGAATTTGTGGCAGGACTCTTGTATTAGATCACATGATTGATGATTGTGTGTATATTACTTTTAAAAAAAATAAGGTTCCCTTCCTAAAACACCGCTCAAGTTCTTCATAATCGTCCTTCCAGAAGAACCCATCAATGTGTATCAAATCAACAAATAATGAACAATGAAACATGAAACAGATTTCCTTTTTAATCTCACTTTTCTTCATCTTTGGAAACCATTAAACCTGCCTGTTTCTACAGCTAATGGTAATGTATCTGAACATAAACCGTTCACACAGAGATCTTTTAGTTACACTACACTACACTTTATTTTCATGAGACTTCTCATCTTTCCTTATACACAAGGTAAAGTTTGCATCATGTATATAACACTGTTTTTAAAATAAAAGACAAAAGAGAGATGCACCTAAAAAAAACAACAATTATATCAAAAGGTAGGACCAATGTGCAGAGTTTAGGTGCTTTAAAACATAAAGGCGGACACACACACACACACAGACACACACACACACACACACACTGATTGTGTTATTTTAGGGGGATTTTTGTATCCGCTCCACTCAGCGATTTACTCCCCACATCTCAGTGGGCTCAACGGGGGCTGTGTCCTCTCTGCTCTCATGCAAATGTCAATATAAATGCTAAAACTCTTGGGATTGGGGTCTGCTAGAAGAGCAAGTGTCAATTTCACACTGACCTCAGATATGAATAATACAGTCGCTCCCAACCTTTTGTGTTTGAATTACCGCCACAGACCTCTTCCCCCTCACCAGCACCAACCTGTCATGTTCCAAATGTGTTTATTTGGATTTATTTTAAACTGGAAGATGATCTGAATATGGTCCATGTTGTTTTTTGTTTTGCTACATGGCAGAAGCACGCTTGCTTATAACAGTGGTGGAAAGTACTTAAACTCAAATAGTCCAGTCAGATGTCCACAAGTTGTTAGCAGTTCCAACGAAGAGGGATTTTAACTCTAAACTTTTACATGGTTTTGTTAAAAGAAAAAAATCAAATTCATAAAAACTAGAGAAAAAGTCAGAAGATTTAAAACAGGACCAGTTTTTTTTTTTTCTTCTTTCCAGCCCCATAAATCATCTGACCACCCCTCAGATTTATCCTATGACCCTTTGGAGGGGCAGACCCCTAGTTTGAGAACCACTGGACTAAACTAAGAGTATATAAAGTAGTGAGAAGGAGTTCAACATCAACCAGCTGCATCAGTAAAATGTCA